ATACAAACAGCCAAAGGAAAAAAAAAAAAAAAATTGAAACTCAAAGTCCTAGCTTGCAATGAGTATTCATTTAAAAACTTCACAAACAATAGATGCTTACTTCTAAAACATCTTGGAACACAGAAACCCAGCATTGGAATAACTGTGTTTCAGCATGTAGTTTTGATCATCAGACTTTTAGGAGAAAAATGCTTGGCATTTAGAGGTAGCAATGAAAATCTGCACGAGCATGATAATGGAATCTTTTTAAATCTGGTCCGACTATTAGCTGAATTACATCCTGTCATGGAAAAGCATATAAGAAAGTCTTTGAAAACACAATATAGAATAACCAAATTATAATAAATAATATAAAATAACCAGACACTTGATTAAAACCATTCAAAATGAGGTCCTTCACCTAACTGCACTTGATGTCAGGAGTCAGATATTAGACGAAGTAAAAAAATCAAAATATTACTCATTAGACTGCACACATGCCATGAGTCAAGCAGAGCAAATGATCTTCGTTATAAGGTTATGCTGATTGAACAAGAAAACATCAACATTCATGAACCATTTTTGGGCTTTTTACAGATTGAAAGATCAACACACCAGATACTTTTGGATGTCTTACTTTGAGAGCCAGAAAACCTAAAATTGCCTTTAGCAACAGAAGAGGATAAGGATATGATATGGGGTAAATATGAAAGGAGGACACGTGGGGGATGCAGGCAAAGATTAGAAGCATCAGCCCTCATGCATTTTTACACCATGTGGTAATATGGCCAGATCATCATTAGATCATCAACTTCTTTAATATTGTCAAAAAACTGTACTTATATTTTACTTCACTGACTCTCCGATGGGACCTTTTTTGAAGCACATTGAAGGACTAATCTTAAAACCTCACAGCGACACTCAGTAGGAAAGTTGAATGGATCCTATAAAGCTGCTGAGGTATAAAAATCAGTCAAATACATAATGCATTGCTTAGAATTTACAAAAACAAAGATATTATTAGTTCAATAAGAGATGAAGCATCTGACCTACATACACAAATACAACACTTCAGATTTCTTTATTTTGTCATGAGTACATGGTATGAGGTATTAAATAATGTTAATTCAATTAGCAAACTTATGCAGGGTAAAAACTTTAATATTGCACTGGTATTAGAACTTCTGGAACGTTCCAATCTTTTTTTTTTTTTTTTTTTAAAGATCAGACGATCATTTTAATGGAGTCCTTGTCAATGCTGGCTAAATGGCATCTGAAATAGATTCAGATAAAAATTTGAATCAATACTCAGACATTTGAGTTTGTTGGCGAAAAAGACAATTTGACTATAAAAAATCAGAATGAGCCCATAATCAATGCACAGGAAAAATATAAAATTGAATTCTTTTATCACCTGGTTGACAATGTATTCAATTCTTTAGAAAAGACTTTTTTCAGCTGCAACATCACAATAGTTACTTCTGCTTTTAACAGTTGATAATCATGGGATATAAACAGCCCATAATGCTGTGATAAAACATCAGCGGTGTGATTTCTGTTGGAAAATTATTTATCATATTTGAAAGTTTTGAAATTGATAATAAAAATTAATCTAGCATCAAACTTAAGCATGCCCTAAGAATTTTACTGACTTTTCCAAGAACATTGCATTCAGGAAACATAGTTTTTCCAAACTAAAAAATCATTAAAAACAATTTGCGAACAACATAATCTCAAATAACATTGTCCTGCATCATTATATTAGGAAGAGTATGAACTCAGTAACAATTTAGATGTTTCTGAAAATATTGCAGAATTCTCTAAACTAAAAATTCATAAAAAATATTAATTTGTCTGAATTATACTTCTGTTAACTGTTTTTTAAGCATTTGTGTCATTTACTGAATTACAGTGTTGTAGTTTGGACATTCACTAAAAAAGTAAAAAAGACCATATACTTTTTTTTAGAATGCTTGCACTAGTTCTTCCATTGGACCACAAATTTTACTTATTATTAATTATGCATGGAGCGTTTCAAAGGTTAAATCTAACTCTGCCAAAGCACTGTAACAATTAAAAGCTATCAAAGAAAGTATAATGCGGTCTTGAAACTCCTATAATGTTGCCGCTAATGAGGTCACATGAACACTGTCTTTAATGTATTCTGAAAGGAAAAAGTCTCTGGGTATAAAGAAAGGCAGCTTTTGTGGCCATTTGAAAAATGTTGGTTTTCCCATGAGAATTAATCTCATCCTATAGAAGCTTATCATTTAAATAACAATATTCTTCATTGTGCCAATATGGAGAAATCCTATCTGGAATGTGAAACTTCTGAAAATTTCTTAGGTAGAAATAATCTTAACTGCAACATATCAAGATACGAGAGCCATTACAGTGTTTGCAAAGGGAAAAAAAAAGGGGAGGGGCCTGCACAACTTATTAAAATATTAAGGAGGTATTTAGTTTAGTGAAATCTGTTTCTGTTTTCAACAATAGTGTGAAAATGTTTTATGCTTTATGCTCAGATATTGTGGCATTTTGCAATTCAACACAAATGAAAAATTGATAATATGGACAGCAAATTGTCATGTTACAATGCATCTTACATGCAATTACAAAATTTGTATCATTTTTGTTGATATGTCAGAAGAAAGTTCACATGTGTAAATTAAAAAAAATATGAGATTTTCTTTCATTACATGAATATTAAAAATGCACAAATTCATAACTTGGAAACTTAAAGAATTCAAACACTAATGAATGTAATAATCCCATAAAAATTTTTAATTTACTTTCAAAATTTAGGTATATAAATATATGGATTCCAGTTGAGATAAACTGATTTAATTTTATATAGGGAAACCATAATGCCCTTAATAATTTAGATTTAATTTAATTTTTATGAAACTATACCAAAATCTAATCAACAGCTGGAATTCAATTCTTTATAATTCTTTCATAACAAGAGCTGCTTGTCCACAATTCTAAAGATCATTATTCATGAAATCGAAATTAACAGTTCTTCCAGTAAGAGAATCTAGAATCATCAAGATACAGTCTAGCCTATGATCAACAAGATACAGAAACAAATTTCTGTCTTGCAAATAAACAAAGATATTGTTCAGTTTGATACAATGTTGTCAGAGACATCTTTGGTAGTAATAGCCACTGGAATTGCATATGGAAACCATGTGTCCACAAAGCAATAGCGACTTCTGAATCAACGAAATAACATATGCCCCAAAATAGAGCTTTTGTTATTATTTTAACAAACTTAATTTATGATAGAATACTTATTTTTAATATTATATTTAATATATTTAATTATAATTTCCAATTGCCTTCTTTATAAACAATGTTTTATCAGAATGATTTTTCACCTTCATACAAGTGATTTGCTATTGTAAGCTATACAGCGATATATTTTTTACTTCATTTGATATCATGAATTTAAATCTTCAAGAATATTTTCCCCTGTTTAAGGGGATTTCTATATTCTAATACTTTGAGAATTCTGAAAAACAACAAAAACTTAATTTATCATCTGTTTGCATTTGATTATATTTTCTATTATCTACTGTTAATGAGTTTTCAACTTTTAGACTGGATCCATCACTTGGCACATTTATCAAAAATTTGGCATGAACCTGCAGATTGCGATTTATCGTTTCTGTAATTAATAGAATACTGCTAATATAAAATCTATTATAATTTTTACATGTGACATATAATAATTTTACATGAAATATAAGTTTATATTAATTATATAAATATGATTATTGGACTTTTACATTATTTATAAAGTGATAAAACTTCGTTTTCCTCTTTTATGTACTTAAATGTTTTATTATACATATAACTATTAGCAACGTGTGATAAATCTTATGCTATATATGTGGTAATCCATTTATTTTTCTTCTTTTACATAGATGAATGATAAAATATGTATATACATATGTTTCACAGTTAATTCTTTTTCTTCTATTTATTATCTATTTTTTTAATTTACAACTTTAAATTATTTTTCCTATTTTGCATTTTTAATCACTATTATTTTTTATTTACTATATTTATTATTATTAATACTTATTAAAAAACTGAGCTCTGAAAAATTAAGGTATTGAAAACTTTGTAAAACTGTTATGTTTGTTGTAAGACTGATGAAAAACAGTCTCACAACAAACATTACAAGTGTGATGTTTGTTGTGAATCAATTTGTCATATCGATGAAGGTCTCCAAATGGATTGTCATCTATTTTGACTAGTTTTGTATCCATTTGGAGATGATTAGTGATTTCCAATCATTAAGGGGATCTAGCCTGGCCGCATGATTAGGTTTCATGGTTTCATCAGGCATAATGTGGAAACGAGAGTTTCTTTTAGAAAGTCCTCCAAGAAAGCATCCCTTCCCTTAGGCAGCCCTTACATGCTTTGCTATAATCAAAGAACCAGTCGTCCAACCTAACCATAAGACAACCAGTTTTTAATTTGACTAACATTCCAGAATTAATTAAATTACAATACTAAATATCACTGCTAATTATGTTTTCTAAGACAACCACCTTCAATGAAAACCAAAACCATCTTGGACTGTTGGAAGCTATCTTAAGGAAATTTCATTGTATATACATAGATATGCCTAAATATTTTTTTGGTCAAGAGCATCAGATACTCTCATACCAGCCCTGAGATTAATGCATTAAACTATTAATAAAACTGAAATAAAAATTAAAAATAATTTTTTATTTAAAGATTATGCTACAAATAACATAGCTTGCAAAAAATTCAGTATGCATTAAGTTTCAAAATCAAGTAAGCTGCATTATTATCCTCCGATTAAAGATATCAAGACTGATTTATACATTTTACCACCAAAAACGAATATACAAAATTTATTGCTTCACTGGATTTAAAATCTAAAAATGAATTAAAAAATTTATGCCTATATTATGGTCTCAAGATATTGAATTCAAAATGATATAACAAAATATAATAATATTTTTTACACCAAAGCAACTTACTGCTGCAATATCTTCAGGTGCATCAGATTTGTCAAAAATTAAAACATCAGCTCCATATCCTTTCAACTTCTTGCCCAATATTTCTAAATCAGAATCCATTACCACTTTAAACTGCTCTACAGGAACTGGTGTCTGAATGTTGAGAGATCTCCCAGTTCTGTTCTGAATAGTACACAGAATAAGAGATACAAATATTTAGTAAATTAAAAGGAGCTATAAGGAAATTGAGATGAATTTCAGAATAAAAAGGCTTGCGCCATGGTAACAAGCATTCTAAATATGTGATACATAAACATATTTTTGTAGTTTTTCTCCTCCAGTATACAACAGACTTTTTCAAATTAATTACTAAAACATTAAAAACTATAGCAATGAAAAATATATCTTGAAATGCTCCAAACAGACTGAAATATATCCAACATAAATACAAGTTATTAAGAGAAAAATATTTAAGCTCCCTTAAAGCCTCATCAATAATTATACCCATCATTTCTAATAAAGTTAATTCATTTTTCTTCATTTTGCTTCATGTGGATGTCATCTCTCTTTCAGATGCTTAACTAACAAAACTTGCTTTTCCTTTCTTCATTCATGTGGAGCCATATCTTCATAGGAGATCACATCTCATACATACCTACTTTTGGGTTTTTAACAAAAGTTTCCTGCCATCGCAAATATTGTCTGCATGCACAGTTCACGCTGGCATGTTTAATCATATTTTATCAAATAATTTTTGGCATTTGAAAGAAAGAGACTTGCTTTAGAATACTGTATTGTAAAATTTGAAAAAAAAAAAAAAAAAAAAAAAAAAAAAAAAAATCGTTATCATTAAGTACAAGATGTCTGAAATGGAACTATCACGCTACCAGATTAGAACAATCATTTACAAGTCTGTTGCAAAAAGTCAGCTACAAAATGTTACCAAATCATGTTTACAACTTTAGGTACTAATATTGTATCATATGACACTGTGAAGGTTTGGTACTGAAAGTTCAAAAACAAGGATTATGGCATTCCAGAAACAGAGTGCTCTGGCCAGCCTACCGATGTTCATGAGACACAACTGCGAGAACTTGTGGAAGATGATCAATATGCAACCACTCGACAGCTTGCTAAGGAGTAACACATTAGTGGCATGTCTATTAGTCGCGCTATGCATTGCATAAACTTGACGTACAAATTCAATCACTGGGCGCTGCATGAGATGACTCAAGCAGATAAGGGCAGATATTGTTCGGGCCTAAAAACTACCAAAACACTGACAGAAAATCACAGATTTGGGTGGTGATTTCTATCCGTGCTAAGGGTACTGCTTCCATGTTTGTTTGTTTTTTAAACTTTAGTAAGAACATTTTTTAGTGGGAAATTTTTTGTTACAACCAGATATTTACTAATAAAGAATCAATATGTATGTATATTCCTTGCATGGCAGAAAAACAATAGCACCTAAAGCCACCAAATTTTGAACATACATTGTTTTTTGCCTAACATGTACACCTCAAAGGCCAAATTTATTTTTGACTTGTTTCATATTTTGTGCAAATTTAATGAACTCTTGACTAAAAACTTAACAGTTTAAAAGCTTTATGTTACCACTCTGCAAGGTACAAGATATTTATCTTTTGAATGTTATTGCATTGTTAAAAAACAGTAGCACCTAGAGACACCAAACATAGTTACATGTCTAGGACAATTTTTTTTTTCCCCTATTTATTTTGTATTTTGGGCAAGTTAAAGGACTTTTGATTAAAAACTGAACAATACAAATGTTTTCTGTTGCCATTCTCAGCAAACATATCGGAGTGCAATCTATTTATCTTTTTAATTTAATCAACAAACCTAGTTATTTAAAAGAAATGTATTGCCACTGTTTGAATTAAAATAACTTTATCTTCCATGCAGCAGTATGTTGTCATTCAGTAAATTGTTAAAATAATACTTAATTATTCTTTGAATTTAATCTGTTCAAGTAAACAAACTGAGAGATTTAAAAGCATTAAACACACATTCATTTCAATGATTATTAACTACTGTCTGGACCTGTGAAATTTCATTAGCTGGATTCATTCAAATCATTATATATATATTTTTTCTTCTTTTATAAGGTGACCATACATCCCGAATTTTCGGTTCCTGTCCCGATTTTTTATAACTCGTTTTTTGGTACCGAATTTATAACATTTGTGCCAAAAAAGAGCAGTGGGACAAGGTGAAAGTTTAAATGTCTCTATTTGTTTAAGTAACGTAGATTGCAAACTGAGAATGCAAGTGTAAGTTAAGAGACACGGGCCATACTGGCTGCATGAACAGGAGATTCCCCATCTAGAAATTTACCTTAGACAAACTGTAGAGGGGCAGTTCTTTCTCATTCCCGTATTTCTTTCCCCAGCCCCCCAATATACATGGAATATTTGCTTACAGCTCACAGTTGTAGTTCCAACTTTCACTTAAAGGCAGCACTGCAGTTTTTAATTGATATATTAATTTGTTTGTGATTTGAATTTATAATATATACAAATATTTTTTTATTATCAATGGTGCATTACATACATTACATATTATTACACAACATCTAAAAACAATTTTTTTATTGTTCACTGAAATTTTATTTTAGATATATCCATTTAAAATCATCTTTCTCTTGTCACAATTAGATCCTAAAACTTTTATTCCATCATCATTTTGACTTTGCATAAGGGTTAAAAAAGTTTTTCAAAATTTACCAAAATGATGACGTGTAATGGAGTTTTTCCATTTGACAATGACATACATTTTTTATTTATCAACGGTGCATTTACATAAATGCTAAGGGTATGTTTTGCTGAGATTTAATTTATTATTTATTCTTACCATTGATTTTTTTAATAACATTTAACGAAGAAGGAGTACAGTACGTACTTATTGAAAAAAACTAAAAGTGATTCCGATGTAGGGTGCAATATATGTTCTTTAAAATTTTCAATAAGCCATGGTGGACATACACATATTAAACTTCATATAAATAATAATAAATAAAAAATGTTAAACTGCTGCTGCACCTAGCTCGTCATTAAAGAATTTCTTTAAACAGTAGAAAATGGATGATATGGAAGAAGAATTAGCTGTAGGTGGTACTTTTGCATACCATAGTTTTAGATCTATGAATTGTCCTTCCAAGCTGCTTCAAGTGGCATTTGAGCCTAAATTTACATGTGCGTGAACCATGGACGAAGAATAATATTAAATGCTTTCATGCCTTACCCTATGACAGTTTGCATAATTATTTAGAAAAATTTTCAGTAATTTCTATCTTAACTAATGCGTCCAATCACAGGGAAATAAAACTTTTTCCAATATTTGTTAGATTTATAAACAGGAATTATGGAGTTAGAGTAAAATTTTTGAATTTAAATCCTTACCAGGTAAAACATCTGATACATTTGATAGTAAGCAACTCTTTAACTACCTGTCTTGAAGAAAATAATTCAAAATAAACAGCTATTGTTCTTTGTGTTGATAATACAAATTATAACTTTGAAAAAGCTGACAAACGTGCAGATTTTTTTTTTTTTTTTTGTTAAACTTCAGTGCAACCTTAAACATGGTTTAACTGGATTCAAATGTGCAGCACATATTACCCATAACACTATAAGCTGATGGTTTGCCAGTTGATATAGAAATGATTATTAAGATATACTTTAAATGTTATATTGTTAAAGTAGAAACATTGAAAAATATCTGCAACTTCATAGAAACCGTTTTTTCAGTGATATTAGAATATTCACAAATAAGATGGTTAACATTACTTCCTGCCATTGAAAGAATACTCCAAATGTTTTTACCATGGAAAGCTTATTCTTCCTCTCAAGAAAACTGCTCCATGCTTATTTAAAAATTCTGTGAAAATCCAGTGGCAGAAGCTTGACTACATTTCATCAATACTCAATATTTTGTAGGGTCAATCGATTATTTTGAAGCAGGAGAGATGAAAAATGTGCAGTGTCCTTGCTGGGACTTGAACCTGGACCTCTCAAATACACATCGAGTAGGCTACCTTTACATCGTGAAGACATGCAGAAATGAGGAATAAAATACCTTATAATTTCATAAAGTTATTAAATCAATTAAAAATCAAACTGCATTTGTATTTGATGTAACTGCTTTAACAGATGCTCTGAAAGTTTCAATATTGAGAAGAGAGAATAACTTTAGTCGAACAAATGTTAAAGAAATTAAATTGTTAAAGAAATTCCACAGTTTTTCTTAAAGCCTTGAAGAAAATAGAGACATGTCACAATATGAAGTTATTAAACTTCAAGAAGCTACTGTTTCATTTTATCAGACTGCTGTTACTTATTTGGAGTGTGGCAGTCTTATGTTTGGCTGCACGCACCACCAGATAATGTCCTGTTGTTTTTGCAATAACTGCTGGCATGACCAGCAAACTTACACACATTGCCTTCATCTTGAGTACAAGAAGGTTGGAGTATTTGTGCAGAAGTTTGACTGTTTTAATGAATAGTCGTGTCAATAAAATTGTGTTTTAGTGATGGGGAGTTATATCTTCTAAGAATATTCACCGAGCCATATCCTTCACACCTATAATGGCAACCTGTCTACATGCATGAAGCTTCAGAAGCTTGGTTTTCAAGACTTTCGTTTTCTTGGTTACAGTCACTGCAATGGAAGAAACAGCAACTGTAAAGATACCAATTTACGGTCATATTGGCCTGGCCTGCAAGAACACTAACCTCACTTGCACTGACTACTTCTTCTGGGGGTACATCAAGACACTGGTGTACAAAACCCTGCCTGCATCACAATCCAGTGTCATAATTTTGATGTCGTAAAATTTAATTTTTTCCTTGATGACAATTGTTATTGTTTTCTGCTGCATTAAGCATCATAAACATTTTTTTCACTCTGCACATGTCCATCTTTTCTTGTGTTTTGAGTCGTCACTACCACGCCAAGAAAGTGTTTCCAACATTGCATTGCTATGTGATTTTCCATTGTCCAGGTGTACTCTATCTCTCCCAAAAGTATTGAACTTTATTACTGAAACACTCTGTATATATATTAGCAAAGTAGTCTTCAAATTCATAATAAAAATATTCTGCATATTTGTTTACAGTTGGAGGTTCTATAAAATTATTATTACAGATTTATTGTATGACAAGAATCAGTTTTAATACTAATTCTCTAATAAATCTAGTGAGATGACAAGTAAGTTTAAACTTTCCTTGTAGTTTTAGATTTGATTTTAAATGTCATATGATGTCAGTAAGAGAATTTAAGTCACAGTGACATTTTCAGTCTTAGATAAATCTCACGTTTTTTTAAAACTTATTTCTGATTCAAGAAAATTTTGAAGTGAACAAACTCAGTAAAGTTTTGCAACAGTTTTCAGCAATTTAACCATCCAGCATTCACATCCATGCATAAAAAAGGGAAAGGAGAAAATTATTCTCTCTGTTCAATTATGAATCCTAAAAATTTATGATTTTCAATATTATATATATTATAATATTCAGTATTTACTCTTATATACAAGATAACTTTGTTAACTGCATCTATAATATCTATCACTTAACCTGTCTCCAAAAATTTATGCATATATTTTCTGTATATATTTAGTAGCAAAGTGAAGCAACAACAGTTATTCATCTCCTATTTCAATATTCCAATAAAAGCAGACAGTGCTCCCAGCTGTCATAGCAAATGGTGGTGACAGTTAGGAGTACTGTTTGTTTTGACAGAAATTAATCAAAACTAAGCAAAATTACATTAACAAAATCTTGAGCAAAATCATGTTAACAAAATCTTGAGCTCACAGAATCTTAGCAAAATCTTGATCCAGATAGATCCTGTGAAAATTATTGTCCAGTATTTAATACATTGAATGCCAAAGTAATAAAATGTAAAATTAAAAGAATTAAAACATGACATTTCAGTCTAAGGATTAAGAAGTTACAGAAAATGTATACTAAAGAAAATACTCACCCCTTTTATTTTTTTCTTTGGCTTCCAAAGTGAAGTTGTCATTACAATAGCCACTGTACACAAATGATCAAAATTCATACTTTTTTCTGATGCAAATTTCTTCAATTTATCATACATTTGCAGTAAACAGTAAGCGTCAAGTGCTAAGAAAAATTTCATAAATTTCATTAACCAGAACATTACATCAAAGTGTTACAAATACAGAATGGGGTATCCTTCAAATTACTTCATTAGCTGATTCTGGGGACATTATCAGAAGAAAGCAGAAGTTAATTAAAATAAATGTAGAATATTTTGTAGAACTATCATTTTTTGATATTAATGATGAGCATTCTTGTGTCAAAAACATCAATGCATCAAATGATTCTTTATCAAGATAAAAAAAAATTATCTTGATAAAGAATAGCATGAGTTAAAACAGATGAAGAAACAAAAAGAATATAGAAAAGCAATCAATCCATATACTGTGAAAACATAGACCTAGAACCATTATATTTTAGTTGTAATGTATAACTACTATTAGAAATGCATGAGCATATTTTTTCTGTTAAACATTGATCTAAATATCATATGCTATCCGGTGAATGTCATATATTCTATAATTGCACAGTCCATTCAAGCACAATGTAACATGGATATAACTAGCATCCTATCATATACAATACATGTACAATAAGGAAAAGTTATGCAAATAGTAGATCAAAGAAGAGATCGAAAACTATGCAAATATTCTGTGAAGATACTCACTATGCATTGACAGGCATCATCTTACTCAAAATTTTCCTTAAAAGACACTACAACTTCAGCAACACATGTAACAGAATGAATGATTAGAATGCTACTGATATATAGTCAGGCTGTTAAAGTATTGTTGCAGATTTGGTATTTAAATAGCTAATATTAGTAGAATTATAAATTAAATTGTTTTATTCCTTATGCAGTGCAGCGCGTGATGAATATTAAGGGAAAGCTAAGTCGGAAAATTAAAAATACAAGAGCACGTGCATTTAACATTTAATAAATAAATATCTCTTTTTGATTTTGAGAAATTGCAAAACAATCTCGTGCATTTAAAAAAAACTTATATAAGAGGGATCAAAACTTCTCAATCTGGAATTTTGTTTAGAAAACTGCTGCTGTTTACTCTAGTGAATTTACGGTGAGATCAGATTAGCTTTCTCTAACTGTTTTGAATTAAGTTCTGTTAACTGTTTGAGTAATTAAAAGATAACAGCTGTGAGATATTGCACTATTGTACGAATATCTGAGAACTTAAGCATTTTGTTTTATTTGTTGTGATAATAATAAGTTTTATTCATTTTTCATCGGACCTGTGCATTCAATTCATAAAGAACCCACCCGCAACAATTTTTGGTGTCAGGAGTGGGGTTTGAATGCCAGTTACAAGAGCGATGGAAGACCAATTAAGGCAATTCACGGCAGCCTTTGCTGTATTTGAAGAAGAGATGAAAGATCCTGTTAAAGAGATGAAAGTGGACATAAATCCGTTAAAGAAAAGATGGATGCTGTTCAAGAGAAGATGGATGCTGGTCAAGAAAAGATGAAATTGGGCCAAGAATCCGTTAAGGAAGAGATGACGGAAATTCAAGCAGGTCAAAAAGAAATGAAAAAGGAAATTACCTGCATAATAGAAAACAAATTTGAGGCTATGGAAAGCCGAATAGACACGGTTGAAAATAATGTTGGACAAATTGAAGAAAGAGTTTCTTCTCAAAGTACAAATCGAAGGAAGAGTTTCAGCCATCCAACAACAAATTGAAAAAAGAATTTCTGCTGTGCAAGGGCAAATCGAACAACAAATTGAAGACAGGGTTTCTGCTGTCGTCGCCAAAGAAGTTGACACAATAAAGAGATGTATAGCCACAGTAGGAAGCAATTCAGAGGGCTCTAAATTTTTACCCATGCTTCCTCACCCCTCTCTAAAGTTATCTATGTATGATGGGAAAACCTCTTGGCAAGTTTATAAGACGCAATTTTCAATAGTGGTGGAAGCAAATGCATTGGATTCCCAAGCTAAGGTCTGTCATCTCGCCGCATCTCTGAGAGCAGACTCAGCGGATATCCTTCAGACCCCTTCCGAAACCCAAAGGTTAGATTTTGGAGCTTTATCGTGCACACTGGAGCTGTGATTCGGGATACGTTTGAAATACTATAGCAGGCTTCAATTAAAGTCTCATCAACAGAAGCCCACCGAAAACTTCAGGAGCTCGCCACGGATGTTGAAAGGCTATCTCACCTCACCTTTTCGGAGTGCTTGACAGAAACAAGGGAAATCCTATCGCTGCAATACTTCATCGACGGTATCCGGGATCCTGAAATACAAAAAGCTCTGCAAATGGCAGATGTTAAGGATTTGGAAAGCGATCTAGTGCACACCATGAAATTTGAGGCAGCCCAGCAAGCCACTCGTAGAGACCGCCACAAAATCAGAGCTGCTCTAGTCCAAAAACCAGAGGATCAAATGGCCGCTCGTCTAGATGATTTAACCCAACAACTCAATTCCTTGAGACGGAATATTGGTGACAAGAAACCGACTGTAAAGTGCTGCAACTGCGGTGCTGAAAGGCACATACGAGGAAACTGCAGAACACCTCAGGGTATGGATGTTAAGACCTCTCCCAACAAAAAACAGGGGCACTAATTAGTGGCCATCTCGCGGGGCGGAGGTTGCCAGATAATTAAAAGCCTCAGTATGAATTTTCCTGCACTGAGAGGTGGCAGTAATGGACTTTTCATAATAGGACATATTAATGGAGTTCCCTGCAATATGACGATAAATACAGGAGCCAACGTTACCATCATCCGAAAAGATTTGGCTCAACAACTGAGAAGCAAACCTATCTGGACGCTGCCCTGCATTACCCTCCAGACTGTATCTGGTGAGAAGATCGACATCAATGGAAAAGTAAACATTAACATAAAGTCTGGAAGTGCCGCTTACCATCACGACATATGGAGCAGAGATCACTGATCCTTGCGTACTCGGATTGAACTTTCTAAGGAAATAAATTTTTCCTTGGACTTTAAAGATAATGAATTGCATTCTGCATCTGAGGACACAGCCCTATTTGGAATTAATAATGAAGGAGTCAAATCTATTCACAAAATCATAGCTCATGACGATATCCCAATACCCGCTAGAACAGAGTTTCCACTTCCTGGATCCATAGCTGAAAACAGAAATTTCCACTACAGCATCATAGACTATCCCAATAACTGTACTAGCACAAAAGGATTACTAGTAGCCTCAGCACTCGCCGACCTAACGAGAATGGTTATCCCAGTGAGAGTTGCCAATGTAATTGAGAAGGACAGAGTTATTCAGAAAGATGAAGTTGTTGCAGCATGTACTCCAGTAACCAGCATTGAAAGAAAGAGCAACATCCCAAAATCCATGTCCTCAGAGAGCATTACATCAGAGTTATTGCAGAATGCGCAATTACATGATGAGGAGAGGAATCCTGCCGATTGTGTCATTAAATATCTTCAAGTTGTTTTTTCTCAAGTTCAAGTTCTCTTTTCATTTTAGAAGTTTTGGATTTAATTAAAGATTTCTGATATTCTAAATAAACTAAATGCATTTAGAATGTATAGAAAAAGCTACTGCTTTTATTTTTTTTAGTAATATGAACATTCAGAAGAAATATGAAATATATATGGTAAGCTTCGGTTAGGGAGCTGATGTGGCATAATTTTTAGAATTTAGTGACACACTGAAAAATAAAGTCTAGAAATGGCAAAACTTTTAGAATTTAGAACAGGCATTGGAAGCAGAATTTAGAAAGGCATCAGGCAGCAGAATTTAAGATCCACAGAGACTGCATCAAGTGGGAAAATGCCTAGTGCCAGCCCTGTGTATGGTGCATTAAGACATATTAGATGAATATTTTAAATTGTTAGTTTTCAATATCTTTATTAATAAAAGAATTCTTTTCTATAATGCCTATCCATGTGATAAGATTAGAAGCATTTTTGATATTTTCCATGTTTGTGTCTAGGGAAAATAGAGAAAATAAAGGGAAGATTAAAATGTTAAGAAAAAGATTCTAGTATCAGAAGTAAAACATTCAACTATAATGTTTTCATTGTTCTTTCAGACATTCTCCAAAAAGTAAGAAATTGCATGTTAATACTATGGAGACATTTTTCATTTTGTCACATTTTTCTGGAATCTTTTAGAATCATGGGTCTATAAATTTTGCCTTCATATCTTTCTACACTTTTTAAGCTGCAATGCCTAAAATCCTATAAAAATTACCCTTATCAATTCTGTAACAGCATTAAGCCAGAAATATTTTGAAAAAAGTGTAAAATTAATTTTATAGAGAAAAACAGGGCTTAATTTCTAAAATTAGATATGCTGGAGCCCTGTGGAACACCATCAGGAAAGAGGTACAAAAATAAATAAAAAAAATGGGCTATAAAATCAAATCACTAATAATTTAAAAAATTTAATATTATTATTAATTAATAAATTAATTCAAAAATTAATGCTTAAAGAAATTAAATAATTTAAATAAAAATTTTAAAATATGAAGAGATAAATTAAAATTTAATAAGCAATTTTTATATAATTTTATTACTAAAAATAAAATTTTCTATATCAAATTTCTACTGAAATTTTGTTCAGGTACAAAAAAGAAGTGTCACAGCTTTCTTATTTAGGGCTCTGGGTAGAATATGATTTATCCCCAAAACTAAGAAGTACCAAAGCAGGGCTCGGGCGCAATTTAAGGAGAAAACTTATGTACATTTTGAAAATTCTGAATATTCTGAGACAATTACAAGAGGAGAACTCTTACCATGAAAATATTAAAAATACATTTTTAATTAATTACATAGCTAGTTTGCTTTTGCTAAGAACTGTTTCATAAATGGTGCTTTATAGCATTATACCTTGCTTATTTTCCACATATAATAAACGGCCGAAATGGAACTTTATAATATCACAGCAAAAAATAAAAATGCTTTATTTTAATCTTATCTCATAAATATAATTCAAAAGTATTACAATTATTTTAAAGACATTTATCAATATTACAATGTTCTAAAAAAACTGTCGAAAAATTTCTAGATCTCGGAATTAAAAATTTTCTATAGCAACAGATCTTAAAATCGCCAAAATGTTGATAAGTCGCCAAATTTAGAACAGTTTAATTAAAGAATTCACATCCCAAAAAGCGAAAAGTTGTTTAAGAGCTCTTCATTAGAAAAATGAAATAATTTCAAAATGCTTATGTCTCACTTTTTGCTCAGAAACTTTAGTATCCCACCATTTATATTAGAAATAGGAACAAATTATAACTCATGAACCCATTCAAAAAATAAACATATTTGTCAGCAAATCGCCAAAAATATTACTCCAAAATGTTAATTCACACACAAAATGGTAGTCTAAAAACCGACAGAAATTTCAAACGATTAAAATTAAGGATTTTCTGACGATTTTGGCTGAAATTAAGGACCAAAAATCAATTCCAAAAAACTTATGGACCATACGAACCCTCTAATAACAAACTGAATAAGCTTTTAACTCATTATGTAGAATCTAGGAAAAATGGAGCCATCTGAATTATTTAATAAAAATTGAGAATGCAAAATTTTAATACCTGCATATTCAAGCTGTGAATCAGTCAAAGGTCTCTTCTCCCAATCACATAAACGTTCTTCCTTATTTAAAGGTTTACCAAGAATAATTTCACAAAGTTTACTGAGTCCTATACTAAAATGTTTATCATCACAATCATCATTATATTTCATTTCCTCTGGGTATACTTCCTGTAACTAAGGAGAGGAACATAAATAAATTCATTTTAATATATCAGGAATTTATGCATTATAATCACAAAACAAAATTATTTCCAAAATTATACAAAAATTAATTTAAAACACATTTTTTACAATAATGGAATCTATACAATAAACAGTATCAGTCAAAGAATACAAAAACTGAAATATTACTAAAAATTAACTATAAATAGAGGCTTAGAGAAGCAAATTTATAAATAAATTCCACTTTTCCAAGAGACCTGAAATTAAACATACTGCATTTCAGTGAAGCTATTAATTTAAATTGTGACAGTTTTCATTCACAGATTTAAAGTTAGAGAAGTTTTAATTGTAATCTTGTTCATTGGTCCAATGAAAACAGACAAGCAAGACAAAAACATCATCGTACGAAACACCATGCGAGAAAAGAAAGCAAAATTAAAACATCATCATTGAAAATAAAGCTGTTCAAAAACACTGCAGTTTTAAAAAATCATTGCCCAAAATATCGCAGTAAAAAATAAAGCATCTGTAAATCATTGCATAACCATAACATAGCAGACATGTATGTTTTAGGCTTAAAATTTGTAAATGTATGTTCATATAACGATTTGCAAGCGCAAGAAGGAATGAGGAATATTTTTACCTCTAAATTTCATATTTTTTAATTAAATAATAGTTCTTTGCTTAAAAAGAAAGAAAGAAATTTAAGCATTCAAAAACTGAACATGAGTAGAAAATTAATACTATGCGTAACAGTTAACATAATTCTTAATTTATGTATTTAACTAAAGGTGATTATTCAATTAATCTCTTTTTATTTCCTTGTACAATGTAAAAAGGAAGAATTGTAATCGCAAAACGTTTCAGGCATCATATTTCAACGCAAATATCCATTTTCACCGATATCGAATGCAATTTAACAATCTTTTTGCTCGACATCTGTACATAAGGACAGAATAAAGAACTCTTTTTCCAAAAACAAAATTCTAAAACTAGTTTAAAATGAATTCTAAAGAGAATTTTTCGTGGCGTCTGAGCATACGTACATATATATACCTTGCATAACTCAAAAACGAATAGCCTCAGAATGTTAAAGTTTTGTATATAGGACTGCTATAACATGTAGATGTGCACCTCGTGTTTTGGTTGCAATCGGCTGCACCAAAAGTATATAAATATATGTATATATATATCCACTCTATTACTTGGCTCAGTGATCTGTTTCTTTATTCTTATATGTTTGTAAATTGTGCATTTTTTGGCTTTAAAAATTATTGAATTATGCTTATCTTCCGGTTAAGGTTTTTATAGCTTTAGTACCGTAATTTCCGGAAGATTTGCCACAGCGTTTGCATGTTTAAAACTTAAATTTTCAGCGGGTGCGGTGTTTCTACCCATGCGGCGTTTAGGTGCACTAAAAATAAAATATTTCCTATGATGGTCATTGTGCATAGTTTGAATAACTTTGTCATTGTACCAGGGTTGCCACTCAAACAGGAGAAAGAAATTCCCCGACTTTTCCAAGTATGTTTCAAGAAAATTCCAGTCTACCCGCGTAATGTACGTTGGCTGTGCTAGGAGGTAAATTAAACTTGTATTGTGTAGCAAATTCACTTACCGTAATTTCCGGAAGAAAGGCCGCATCAGCGTAAACGCTGCACTCGGGAAAAATGGCAGGAAAAAAATTAAAATTACACAGAAACGCCGCAATAGATTAAATTGCGCGTGACATCGTCGTGGGCCGTATAGATGCAAAAACTCAATCTAAGTCCTGATATATGACATACCAGTTAAAAAAAATGCATGAAATGAAACCATAACTCAAAAATAAATGAAAGGTAAGAAATGTATAGCTTCTGTGCCGTTTAGAGACATTTTCAAAAATTTTCCGCTCCCTAATTAAAAACTATCCAACAAGTACTTATACCCTAACTGATGGGATCTGTATTTGGCAGAATGCCAAGAAAAATCCATTCATGCTGAAGGGGAAATACGTCAGAGTTCGTTATTGCGAGGCAGGTGGAGTTGTGTCCGCCTTTGAAAAAAATTGCAGAAAAGGCAGGGGTGGAAAGAGGTTGGGTCCTGGAAGATTCATCGAATGGTAGAGGAGAGAGACTATTCAAACTGATGAGAATGTTGATTTGAAAGGGGGAAGAATGTTATTGTTCTGAGATCTCGTTTAGGGTGAATAAGGCATGTAGGTCCGTTCAAGGGAAGGAACGTAAACAAAATAACGTTCGCAAAAAGCAACTGAGTGGTCTTTTGTGTGGGAACAGCTCTAATAATTTTGTGCATCTCCAAATCAAATGATGGTGGTTCAGTGGGTTTACTAATTTGAACACTTTTACGTTTTTAACAATATTTTAATTACTATATACAGAGCGTATTCTTAGGCCGCCGCCTTCAACATGAACAAACTTTATTCTCTTACAACTAAGCGAGCAACAGCGCCCTCTAGCCTTTTTCTTCAAATTACACAACACTCCCCACCTGAACTCGGTGGAGAGTTCATCTTTCAATAATATATTCTAGAATATTCAATTAATATTTCGACAATAAATCCTGGAGAAATGGTTAAATATAACATGCATACATAATTATAAGCACATAAAATTTTACAAAACATTAAATGATACCTATCAGCAAGGTCAGGAGAATCAAACCTAAAAATACAAAATACAAACATTAGTTAAGTTCCATATTATATAACAATTGTATAGGCCTTTTTAAGGTACCAGTAGATGTTTTAATTATGCAAGATCTTATTTTACCATCTCTGCCTGGCATTAATTCCAAAATTTGCCCTATTGTCCAGAGATTTCAGGGATGTTAATTGATTAGCAGGGCAGAGATAGTAATCGTCTACCAACCAGAAATTGAGAGGGCGTTTAGTGGAGAAGGTTCATTGGGATCGGTAAACACGTAGGTAATTGGTCTACAATTAATCATTGCCTGGATTTCAAGCTCTTTCACAGTAAGGGATGATCGACCAATAATTTTCGCATAAGCTGGATTTTATGGTTCGTACCATACGCTCCCAAAACCCTCCCCACCATGGACCCCTCTCAGTAATAAATTTCCAATTTATGCCTGTAGCAGAAAATAATTCTTTCACAGATGAGTCACTCAAAGTTTTAAAAATATGTTTTAGTTCTTATCAGCTCTTTTAAAAGTCTTGGCATTATCGGAGTACACGGTGGTACACAGTCCTCGGCGAGCTAAAAATCTTCGGAAAGCTAGCAAAAAACTTTCAGTGCTGAAGATCAGTTACTATCTCTATATATGTAAGGCAACGAGTGACCGCACACGTTAAGCAACAGCATGTAAACTTTACCTTGCCTGTCTTTCGTAAAAAATGGACCGGCGAAGTCCAACCCGGTCACAGCAAATGGAGGCGACTCTTGGATTCTGTCTGGAGGAAGTGGAGCGATATCCTGTACCCCAGGACGATGCACTATATCGTTTGCATATCACACATTTGCTGATGATAGTCTTAACACGCTGTCTTCCCTTAATGATCCAATATTTGTCTCTGATCTGAGTTAGTGTCGAATTAACTCCAGCATGGAATACCCTTTCATGCGAGTCCATGATGGATCACATGAAAAACTCGGTAAACTTGCATTTTGAGGGTAATAGAATAGGATGTTTTAAATTCTCGTGACAGTCTGCAAATTGAAATGCGACCTTTCAACCGAAGAATTCCCCTCCTCATCAAGCCTTGGATTAAGGGAGTAGATGGCAGAATCGAAATCGAGAATTGATTTTTTATTTGATAACTTAATTATTTCCGCTTTGATACGATTCTCGTTGCGTAATTTTTACCCAATAATGTTCAGCTGCTTTAATCTCAAAAGCACTTAAAGGTCCATTCCCTGTAGACCTTTTCCGAAGCCTCCCAATAAATCTAAATACATAGGCAGTAATTCGAAGTAATTTTCCTAAAGAACTGAATTTTTCTATATGCAAAATTGGGGATTCATTGTTAATTACAGGTGCAGTCAAAATAATACTTTTCCTTAACTCCAACGATTCTGAATTTGGTTTTAATTTCTTTTGTTTGGAAAGTTTCAATAGGAAAACGTAACCAGTGTGGCCCATGCCACCACAAATCATTCTTAATTAGTGACGAGCACTAATTCCTCGAGTTAGTAAATCGGAAGGATTTTGTTTTCCCTTCGCAATGGTTCCACAATTTTTTGTTGCATATACTCTGTATTTCTGTAACACGATTGGCGATAAATGGTTTCCAATTATTTGGCGAACCTTTAATCCAAGTAATGGCGATTTCGGAATCACTCCCCCCCCCAAAAAATAAACATCCTCAATTAAATTCACCAAACAATTTTTTCAAATATTTATACATTCGAGCAGCCACGAGTGCTTGCTCCCATTAACTCTAAACGAGGAAGCGTGATTGCTCTTAAAGGTGCAACTCTGCATTTCGACATGATAAAGGAAGTTTTAATTTTTAGAATCACTCGTACAATAATCTGAAATATGCGATGACCCCCATATGCTTTAGGACTAGCGTCCGAAAATAGGTGAAGGCTTATATTCATTGGATCATTATCAAAGAAATTTCTCTGTATCGATATTTCAGTTAAATCATTAAGTTCCTCCCGCCAAATGTTGAATTTGTCCTTAATCTCTGCAGGAAGGACCTCATCCCAGTCAGAACCGGAACACCAGATTTCTTGCATAATAATTTTTGCCCGAATAACAAAGGGTGCAATAAATCCAAATGGATCGTATATTTGGGCGATGCTTTGAAAAAGTTTCCTTTTTGTAGCAAAATCGTTTCCAGTAGAAAAGTCAATTAAATTTTTAAATTTAACTTTATATCGTCTTCAATGGAATTCCAAATCATGCCTAAGAAATTCGATTCACTAGTTAATTTGTTATCTGATTCCTTAATCCCATTTAAGACCCATAAATCCTTTAATGCTTTAGAATTAGTTCTTAATTTTCTGAAATTCATCCCAGCATCCTTAAATATATTAACCGCATCTACAGATAACCGATATGCAT